TTTACCGTAAAATGCACAGTTTGCGATATAATTGCAAAAAAGTTAGAACAAAAACAACATTTTTAATTTAACAAACTATATTTTTTTACTTATTGGTATAAACTTAAAACACTTTAGACAAAAATTATAGGAAATTTTATAAAAAAATAATTTAATTTTTTACTTTTTATTGTGCAGTATACTGGTGCCAATATATTTTCTAAAAACTGAAAAAATGTATTTTTGCGTTTATTTTTGTAAAAAAAAATTGCCAGGTGGTGCAAATTTGGTTTTATGCTTTTTAAATAAGCCCCTATCAATTGATAAAAAAACCAGACAGTGCCTCAGCACGCAAGGTCAAACGACGGTTTATAAAACTTATAGAACAAATACATACAAAACACTATCTTTAAAAACTTAAACATCAACAAAAGGTGTTTTGGCCCAAAAAAACTTTTGGTTATATTAAATATATTACCAATTATAAAAGCAGAAATTTGGTGTTACTTTATTTTTGTTGCTTAGTTTAGATACAAGCAAAATGCTCATTTCTTGATCTAAAATGTGATCTAAAACGATAACTTTTAAAATGTGGTAGGTATACTAAAGCTCAGTTTAGCTTACTAAAAGTCATTACAAATGTTTATGGTGAGACTGTATCTCTGTGATATTATCGCATCGAAAAACCTGTTACAGGAATTTTAAACCAAGAATAAAAAGCTTTCTCTCGGCAATTCGTACGGTAACAGTGCTGTGCTTAAAACGACCAAACGCTAGCCACTTTATGCTGCATCGAAGGGTATACTTACATTTTAAAAGCATATCATTTTATAAATACGAATACGAGGTTCTTTATTTTTATAATTTTAGTAATTAGAAATTTTATGGTACAAGAAAGTCTGCTTTTTATTATGAAAGTCCAACTAAGTATAGTTGTATACAAGTGGATAGCGCTGTGATCAAAAACATCTTATAGGTTAGGTAATTATAAATTTACATCATTACCTAATTTACAAAAAAAATGTTTACATGTGTTTACTCGCACTAATAAGGTTTAACCCAAACTAAACTTTAATCTGTTTAATTAGCAAAAAGGACATGCAATTTTTTAAAATGTTTTTTTAAAAACAATATAATATATTATGCAGTGATGATAGTAAGAAACTGCATCAAAGAACAATATTTTTCGAAACTAATTATCACCAAAAATTATTTATTGTATAAACAAAACATTTTACACGTTAAAGATGTTGTTGATTTCTTGGAAAATTTTGCAAACCGTGGCAAACAAAAAAAGTAATTATTCTGGGAAATTGAAGGTTTTTCTACGGATTAAACAAACTCGTAAGTTATTTAAATCAATTTCCTCGTTTCCCACATTTTCTTTTTCTCGGAAACATTTACATTACTTAAATCGAAGTTTTATTTCCTAATGAATACAAAAATACAATTGTCGTTGATTTTGTATTGATTTTTTGCAAAGGGAAACTTTGGTACAATGGATTTTAGCTTTTGTAAACTTTTGCAGTCGGGAAAATCGTTAGAGCCGAAGCGGCAAAATTTGCCGCATGATTTTTGCCGGGGAATGTACGGCAGGAACGTCGATTTGGCTGCTGCTGCTGCTGCTGCTGCTCCTGCCTCTTGTATCGATTGGTCAACCGCACGCCAGCGTTCACTGCACCCTGCGATGCAAATTCTCTCTTATTCCCGGGGTTGTTCCAGAAAATATCAATTCGCCCGAACCAGTTCAGGCCAAACCATTTTTCCACCACTATTTTAAGTATGGATTTTTGGGGTTATATGGAGGAATCCCATTACACCCGAGGTCTGGAAGGGATTTTTTGAAAACTTTAAGCAGTAACACACTTCAGACACTTTTAGGCAACCCCAAATAAACTGTCAAAACTGTGACAAGAAATATGTTGGACAAACTAAACAATCTATCCAAGTAGTGTTTAAAGAGCACTTGGCCCATGCTAGATTTGTTAGGACAGAGAAATTTAGTGTTGACCAACATATACTTGAAGATGGTCATAGAATAGGATTTGACAACCTTAAACTTATCAAGGAAGTTAGGGAACCAAGTCTGCTGGATAGTTACGAAAGTTTATACATCTAGAATAGAAATAAATCTTTAACACTGGTACCCAACCCTAGTTTGTATAAATTAGTTTGTTAGTTTATTTTCACGTGTTCACTGAATCGGTGACGGTCCACGGTTTAGTAAACTGTGTCCGTTTTGTTTTGGTGTTGGGGGATATTTATAATATTTGTTTAGGTCTATTATTATTATTATTATTACTATTATTCTATTATTAAATTATCTGTGTAAAAAATCAATTATTATTATCATTAATTCAAAACAGTTTAAAAGCAGCAAACCATATAATAAGTATATCATTTGGGAATTAGGTTTTTAACCATCCAAGCGTATTTTAGATTAAAATTTTTCCATACTTTAGAATGTTTTCGAGCCATTTACTCCATTTTTAATTAATCAACATCGCGAAATTCCACGTTATCAAAACCCACTACGTGTAATGCCGCTCCCTTTCTCATCCTCCTTCTCCATTCACCCTAGCCCCTGCACGGTGCACCCCCCGTGTGCCTCCCCTCTCCCCCCCGTAACCACCACTCCTTATTTTCGGCGCGGTCATGATCGGGGGACGACCGGTTTTATCGACCAAATTTTCATCGCAACCTTTCCAGGAATCATGACCATAGTCAAGGGTGGCGTGTGCCGACGCTTTTTCACTTCATCCTCCCCCCTGCCCCTAGCTCCCCTCTCATGCACGTCCGCTCCCTTGCGTTTTCGTGCCGCCCCTCGGCTGTGCGTTACGTCATCGCGTGTAAATTGCGAGTGGAAGCAGTGCCGTAGCTAGGGGTGGACGGGGTGGGCATTTTTGTATAATAAAGCAAACCGTATCAAAAGTACGATGGTTCTTAAGGGCCATCACTATGTTTTTTTTTAGCAAAATCAGGCAGTGCCAGATTTTAAGTCGCAGTGCCAAATTTTAAGTCGTACTGCCAGATTTTAAGTTGCACTGCCAGATTTTAAGTCGCAGTGCCAAATTTTAAGTCGCACTGCCAGATTTTAATTCGCACTGTCAGATTTTAAGTTGCACTGCCAGATTTTAAGTCGCACTGCCAGATTTTAAGTCGCACTGCCAGATTTTAAGTCGCACTGCCAGATTTTATGTCGCACTGCGAGATTTTAAGTTGCACTGCCAGATTTTAAGGCGCACTGCCAGATTTTAAGTCGCACTAAGAGATTTTGTCACAGTAGTTTTAAATGTTAATAATATAATAATTATAAGTATAAGTATGTATAACATAATAATTTGTTTAGGTAGGTAGGTAGATCTATAATGGAAATAAAAAAATATTTTGGTTTATACATAAAAAAATTCAGTGACACATGTATTAGCTGTTGGATATCTACTATCACCTTGAAGAAATGTTAATCGGGCGTCAAATGGAAAACCTAATGGCGGTATAGCATCTGCCCCAGTAGCAAATACTAAAATATCGGTTAAATGTACACCATTATCCAAATTGTTAAACAATAAAATAAAACTACAAATTCCCCACCACCGTAACATTTAGAACACACACGACTAACAAAGTTTGTTAGTTAAACAAACTTTACCTTCTGCAGTAGTTTCATGTGACATGTGACTTTATATCTGGCAGTGCGACTTAAAATCTGGCAATGCAACTTAAAATCTGGCAGTGCGACTTAAAATCTCGCAGTGCGACTTAAAATCTGGCAGTGCGACTTAAAATCTGGCAATGCGACTTAAAATCTGGCAGTGCAACTTAAAATCTGACAGTGCGACTTAAAATCTGGCAGTGCGACTTAAAATCTGGCAGTGCAACTTAAAAACATGCACTGCCTGATTTTTCTAAAAAAAACATAGTGATGGCCCTTAAGAACCATCGTACAAAAGCCATAACTAACTGTGGAAAAATATTTTAAGTTGTCCTTTTGTTTAAAACGTTCTATAAAAGTATAAAGAATGGTTAATTATGAAAGTTTCAAAAATTGTTTCTTTATTTCGTTACGGCACTGAGCCGATGGATGAATGGTGGCTGTGTTCGTCGCTTTCACTTGTTTTTCCATCCATCGGCACTCCAAACAACGCCCCTTCCCCCAATTATCGTACTTTTCAAATCCCCAACGACGATTGCCGTTTAACAGTTACGGTCATTGGCGTTTGACAGTTAAACGTGGAATTAAAAGAAAACCCTAGGATGTTTCAAACATCATATTTATATATGGTTTAATCGATAAAAAAAGGATCCTAAAGGAATTAGTTTTGTTTATATTAACCTAAATTGGTTAATGATCGTATCGATAATACTGCGTGGCAGCAAAAATCTCAAATCAACATTAGCTCTCGTAATTTTTTTTCTCGAGAAACTGATTCCGAGTTGTGGCGCTACTAGCGATATTTCAGGATTTTTTTTCTTATTTGAGTAGGTAGAATCTATTTTTAAAGTATTGCACGTCAATTATGGGACACCCTGTATTGTATTTTTACATTAAATTTATTTACAATATTTTTTTTTTATAATTTTGTGACCCAAGTAGTTATTAACTTTATAATAATATACATAAATCTAAAATTTAATAGTATTTAGTGAATACAAAAAAGTAAAATTTTATTTAATCTTTTAACTTTTTCAATATTATATATATTTAACTATGTAGTTAAAGCAATTAAAAACAAATAATAGGTGAACATTTAAACAACAACACATTATATAAATAGAACAGGAATTTATAAAATTTCTCTCGACGAACAGTAGCGCGTATGAACGCGTTCCCTTAGCACTAAGCACTACAATTCTCTAGTAGGACTAATTTAAAGTTGGCGCGCCCGCTTACCCGACAAATATTCGCTCCACCTACAGCGCACCGTCCCAACTACGTGACTGTTCGTTGCAGAGACAAGGTTCGTTAGTTGGACAACGTGCTTGCTTCGTGCGTATAGGTTATAAAACGTTCTTTCAACGAAATGGCGCCTCGAAGGAACTTTCATTTAACGTTAAAGGACAAACTGGACGTGATTAAAAAGTTGGACAACGGTGCTCGTATGACCGACTTGTCGAAAATATACAAAATACCGCGCACGACCATGTACAACATTAAGGCGAATCGGGACAAAATCGAAAGCATTATGCAGAACCAAAGTTTGCGATTGGACTACCGAAGGACGACGAAAATCTCCAAGCATCACGACATGGAAGAGGATTTGTTTAGTTGGTATTTGGAGAGAGTCAGGAATAACAAAACCGTCAAGACGGAAGAGATGCGGGAAACGGCGTTGGAGCTTTACGAAAAACACGGCCACACCGAACCTTTCATCGCCAGCGACGGCTGGTTGCACAGATTCAAGAGAAGGTTCGGGATCGTACCTCTAAAGCACGAGAGAGATATGGTAGGCAGGCTACTTATTTTTTAATAATAAATATTAGGTATTTCGATTAAATAAATTATTGATATTTTACATTTAAGTACATTAAATTTATGTGCAAAGTCCTAGTTTATTTTTTATTAACTTTAACCTAACTTTGCAACAGTATTAAATATATAATAAATCACAGACCTACAAATAAGTAGGTCTGTGTAATAAATATATAAATAATATAATTACTTAATACCTAGTATTGAAATCCGAAATTTCCTTAAAAAGCAAAAAATGGTCTGAATTAAATACTGACTTTTTATTTAAAATAGGCTATAAACTAACAGTGACACTTACTTTACATAATTATATACAGGGTGCACCAAGTATCCTAAGTATGGGAACTTACCTATAAGTTTAATTTCAGTTCAATGTTTTTTCCGTGGATAACTTCACAGAATAAATTTTTTTGATTATTATTGTGCATTTTTCTAAATTTTTCAATAAAATTTAGTAAAGGGTCGTTTTGAGGGGTGGTGAATCCAGCGCCGTGCTTGGATTTTGTTTAAAAAAATCGCTAATATGAATAATAATATGATAATTCTTGCCAACCCTGGTTGTAAAACAAGTCAAAAGGTTTTAACTGTCAACGAAATTGGTTTTGTTTGTATTTTTATTTTTGCATAAAATTTATTTACAATTCTTGACGTGAGGTCACGCGCTTTAAGGTCATAAAAGCGTTTTTAAAACACTGTAGCGTTTTCATAAGTTTAAATTTAAAAAAATTATAACAAGATTTATTTAAAAATTGTTTGTAAATTTGGACGTTTATTTTTATAATAGCACAAATTAGATTCTTATTAAATATATTGAAATATACCAAAATGTTTGAATATTTAGTAGTATTTTTGATGAAAATAGAATAATCAATATAATAATTTTAATATTAGCATTAAAATTTTAAAAATAAAATAAATATATTTAAAATAGTTTTTTGCTTAATATAATTTTGGAATAGCGGAAGATTTATTAAAATTATTTTATAGCAAAAACTACTACAAGGTCCCAAAACCCCAAAATCCCCCGAAAAGGCTGTAAGCTCTATAAATGTGGAACTGGAAAATAGTAACTGGGGCAACAAAATAGAGTTTGTAGAGGACTGCTTAGAAGAAGAAGACGGCGAAGAAGGGGAATACAAAGGGGAAGTTGAGAATTATGAAAACGAAAATGAAGATGACCAATATGAAGAAACGGTGGAAGAAGAAGAGGAGGAAGAAATAGATAAAGTCGAATTAAAACCTCGCATTACAAAGGAAATGTTCGTGGTTTCAACGACTAAAAATTCGGACGATGATAATAAAAATATAGATAAAAACCAGAAGGACAAACTAAAACCAAGAATCAAAAAGGAAATGTTTGTAGGTTCGTCCCAAACAAGTATTCAGCCTACAAAATCAGAAGATCGTCTTCAAGCTAGTATTAATGAAAGTTTTGAGGAAAATAGCAACAAATCAAAAAATGCACCTTGCAAGAATGAACCTTTACCTCAAAATGAACCTATAGATCAAAAGCAGCCTACCAAATCGGAAGAAGCACTTCGTGGTATAGACATAAGTATCGAATGGGCTGAGCAAAATGATTCAAATCCAACCATTATGGCAGCTTTGTATAAATTGAGAGGAGATATTATTTATAAAATGTATACGGATAAAAAATAGTCAATTGTTTGTTTACTAATAAAATAGTCGTTCTACTTTTAAATGGTTATTTTTTGTACAAAAAAATATTTATTTTTAAAATATGATTAACAATATTTATAGACAAAAATAAGTAATTTTTATAAAAGTAGCAGTGTCCCGGCGCTTGCCAACCGAGAGACAAGAGTTCAAAAACCGAGTGGGGTCAAATTTTTTTAAAATTTAAATCTACTAATTTTACTATTTTATTCGGTACAATTTCACTAAGTATTAGTGGTTGCTTTTTCGCTATGACAATTGATTGAATATGACTAATTGTGTCTCTTTAAAATCCTTTAATGTATTAATTAAGTATAATGCTAAATTTTCATTTACTTGCAATTTTCTCTGAATAATTACTAATGGATACAGATGGATGATCTAAAAAAACAGACAATTGTTAGAAAAGTTACACCTTCGTTATTTAAAAAACAAATTATCTGGGAAGATTCGACCTTTCGAACGAGCGATGTTGATAAGGAAAAATAAAAAACAAGCCATGCGACTATTTTCACTTTCGTATCACCGAATTTAACGACCCGGACATACATATGTCCAATGGATGTTTGTAAATCAATAACCAGCTTGTGTTGTGTGCAATCTTTGTTTTCGTAACGGTTATTTTTGTTAACAATTATACATTAGCGTTATCCGAATCGACAGAATGACAAACATTGCGTTGCGTAGCAGATATGACGTGTCACGTTCAAATCACATGCATGCTAAATAATATTAGAGTTGATTATCGTTTTAACTCTTTATTTTTGTCCACTGCTATTGTTTTCTTATTTTTTTACTACTCTTATCATGCGTCATTGCATTATTTTTTAATAATTTAATGCGTTATAGTAAATATCACGCATGATAACATCATATTGCGTAGGCTTGTACAAATATTTTTTTGGTTTATCAGTTATAACTCGTAAATATATTACTTTTAATTATTATCTTATCTGTGTACTCTAATTTGACTGATCACTCTAAAAAAACAATTAAATAACTTGTGCGTAAAACCGAAAAACTAATTTGTTTGTCTTCTTCCTATAATGAAATTTACACTATTACCCTCGCTGTTCCGCGTAATATATTTTAAAAACAATTGTAAATGCTGCGAAATGCTTTTTTACCATTTTTTATTTTTAACTCCAAAAGGGTATTGCGTTAAATAATTGAATGGGGCATTTTATGTCTACATATTTTTTTAATAAACTATGTCGAGATGATATTCTAGGAATTTCTGCTATTTTATTTTTCTGCATGTGATTGTGATTAGAATTATTTGGGACCCTGTGCCCTATTAATTTAGCATTATCTTTCGACGTTGATTCATAATGTAATCGGTCATTCGGCTGAACCATATTTTGCACATTGGATTTGAATTATTGCGATATGTATCCATGGATATGAATTTGGAGCAATGTGATTGGATTGAACCACAAATTACAGTTTTTAGGAGACGAACGGAAGTTACCAGGGTTATTTTATTTACGTTTTTAATTGATACATTGGTGTTGTATTTTGGAGAAGTAGGGAATGGAGACAGTAAACTTTTTGTTTATATCATGAAAAACTTTTTATTATTAAAGTTTTCTTTGCTAAAATATTTTTTAATCTGTTGTATAGGCTCTTCTAAATATTCTTTTATCATTTTAAATAATTATTACCTACTCAATAAAATTAATTTTTAATCTTTTTAGTCTCAGAAGAATATTACTTCGTTGGCATGTTTATGATGAAAGATGTAATTTTTAAAATAACGTATTTATTTAATTATGGAAAGACCTGGTAGAAGAACTAGAAACTGTTTTATTCACCATAATCTGTTCGTCATTAAAAACTCTTTTTCAGAAGTTTTCAATCTTTGCACGATGCGTCAAGAAGGATGTAAGCTTCTTTCCTTGCTGAATAAAAAATATAGAAAAGCACCGTCAGAAAAGCTGAAAATTAGGTCGGCCGGGACCTGTTCGTACCTGCACTTCTGGATAAACTGACCTCAATAGGAAAATTGGGTCGGCCCGGATTGTGATTTGTTGCTCTTTTCCCCACTGGGAACAACAAATTTGAATTAACAGTTTATACACACACCTAATTAAATTACTAACTTTTCGTCAAGTTATCTAGAGTAGTAAAAAAGAAATGAAACATAAAGCATTTGGCAATTTTTTTTAGAATTACTTAGTAGTGAAGCAAAAATAAATAAAAAATAGGTCATTACGTTTAAATGGATAAAGGCAACTGATGTGCTTCTTATGGATTAATAATATCGCGCAATTGAAAATAAGTGCTATGATCCCCTTTAAAAGCAATACAAACAAACATGTATTGATTCCATGCAAGTTAATCGATTGCGTTATTGAAATTATTTTTTATATCGATCACCTCAGGTAATTTACTTGATACTAAATTTATTATTATCCAATGACACAAATATTTTAAAAGGTAATCCTAGACGTTACTCCTCTTTATGATACCGTACAAATCCGTGTTTACAAACATTTGAAAGTACCGTAGTAAACAACATTTTAATAATCCTTATTAAAAAAAGGATAACACCAAGGTAATAAACAAAAGTCCCGCTTTGATCTGTACCCGTAAAGGATTTAACGAGATGATATATTTTTGTATAGAATTGCCAGGTATATGACGAGTTAAAAATCAATAAAACCCAAGGAACTATTGACCTGACCCAAACTGGGAGACATTCTTTTACAGCTATTCAAAATAAAAGTTTTATGGCCTTATTAGGCTAAGCCTTTAGTCATACATCTGCAGAATGACTTTATCTACCTCTCTGTTCTGTAAATAACGTTAATCAAGAAACTAATGTAATGACAGCTTATACGCAGTAGACATGTACCTTATACGGCTTTTTATGTAACATACTATGTGATGGATTTAAAACATCTTTGAATTAGCTTTATCCAAATAATCGGAAAATTGATGATAAATGTACCTAATGAAACTAAAATTGCTTACTAAATAAATTTATTATCCATGGATAACGGTCTTCCTTAAAAAACAACTTTTTCCAAAAAATCTGAAAGCCGATGCATTTCGGTCGGAAGTGGATGGAAATGAAAATAAAATCTTTTGTGCTGTTGTTTCCATCGAATCTGCAACACAACACACAACGAGGAAAGTCATGGAGCAGCAGATTATTGAATACCCGCAGCGCGCGCAATCTGTGACGTAGCCGGACGATTCCATTGGCGGTGACGTCATCGACGTAACGATTACCAAGCTGAGCGAGAGAGCCCCTGCCCCTGGCCCCCTTTACCCACGTTGCCAAATATCCCACAAAGTAACAAAATACGAATCTCGAGTTTCGATTTAATTTGGTTCTAAACTTGGTGATGTAGGTATTTTGTTTTGTAGGAAAATGATGGATTGCATGTTTAATCTTGTTAAGGTTGATTTTTTAAATGATTGTTTGAGGTTTGAATGGCTGTTGGGAAGAGTTGGGGGAGTAACCGATAAGTGTGTAAGAGCGGTTGGCAACAGCGCTTGATTATTCAGTTAGTTCGTTTCGGGAGCTCAGTTCTCGACACTCCATGGTTTGTTAGTGTGCCGTCGTACGTCGTGTGAATCGTGCGTATTGTGTCGTATACCGCAAATCGTATTGGCATGGCGTTTAATTTTTCGCCAGTCGCGTTTATTTGATAGTGTTTCGGCGGTTTTGTCAATTTTTTTCTAGTGCAAGGGATTGTTTTTATAAATGGTTAAGATGTCTGTGATGCAAATTCAGCAAGCCAAAAGGCAACAATGTTACCTTTGCGACTTGCCTCGAATGCCGTGGGCTATGGTTCACGATTTTTCGGAAGCCGTATGCAGAGGATGTGTGAACTACGAGGGAGCCGATAGGATAGAGCTGGTGCTGGATAATGCCAGACAGATGAAGAGAGCCCACGGGTTCCAGGAGCAAAGAGCGGGGCACAGCTCCAAGTCCCACAGAGGGTCCAGCAGTCACGAGCACCAGCAGAACGGGGAAGTGGTGGCCACCTCCAGCAGGCAGCAGGCCGCAGGAGCGCATCATTCCACCACGTACAATTTGCACCATAGACCTGGGATGTTGGCCGAGTATCAGCAGCCGCAGCCTCCGAGAGGCTCTTCCTCCATGTCCCGAACCCAAATAGAGGCGAGCACGGAGCACGAGGCCCTGGTGGCCCGTACGAACGTGAGGTTGCCGACCGCGGCCCATTTGGCGGCGGCGGCGGCGGGGCACCATCCCCTGCAACCGCACCACCACGCGGCCAACGGCAGACCAGGCACCATCCCTCAACAGGGAATTAAACGAGGATTGAGCAGTGCAGATGACGATGACCATCACGGGCATCATACAGGCCATTCCAATGGAGACGTGAACGGTGCTAAAAGAATGATGTCAGTAGAGGAGCACAGTAACGCGGTGAGACCGCCTCTCACCAGAGGCGATTCTCTGCCAGCCGTCTCTTTATCTCAGCCTTTCGTTGTCACCACCGACAGGACATTCAAGCAGGAAAAGCACCCAATCAGGACGGCATCCTTCGATGCAGGAACGGCCTTTAAACCGAACGGTACGTTTTTGCATTTCCTTCATTTACCTATTACGCTTTACGTTCCTATGACACATATATTTCCTGCTGCTTCAGAAATATCGCCGATTGCAGCAACAACACGGCCGTCACGTGGCTCGAACAGCTTTCTCATTTTTCAAACAGTCAACAAACTGTAAATTAGCACGGTTGTTTCGCGATCTAATCGCTATTTTATAAGGAGAATACCGGTTAAATATAAATAACGTGACTTGAATTTAAACCTGCGACGTACAACCTAAACATGCGATGAAAAGGTAAAAATGCCGATATCGTTGCGATTCTCTAGACAATTTTACTAACAATTAAAAAACGTACACACTATTATTATCATAAATAAGTAATTATAATGTAATATATTATGCTTACTAATTAGGCATTTAAATATAAAAAATGTACCCGAAATAAATTCCAAGTAGTCAGTCATTTTCGTTTCAAGCATAAACAAACTGTCACTAAAAGTAATTACTCATAGCAGGAGACCATAAAACGCCCGGTTGAAAACTCAATTGCGCTACATACTGGTTTATTTTTAATAAGCCTTCCTTATCGTATTGATTATTTTTGTTTACCAAAAGCATATACAGCCAATAAGGAAGTGAGCTATACAGTTTTAATTTTTAGCAGCGTCTTTAAAATAAATGTTTACAACTTTCGGTTTTATCGCATTTTTTTTGTTGGAATCAGCAAATATTTTCTCACACATTGTTGTTATTTCAGAGCAATTTTGCAAACGTGAGAATAATAATGCCTTGAACTCTTTTGAATGTCTTTAAAATTAGCGCTTCTCACATTAAAAAACTTCCTGTTTGATATCTTTGTAATCTCAAGAGAATTTCTACCTATTATGTGTAAAAAAACGGTGACATAATTCGGCATCCGAGCTTTCACTGTAGTAGTACATGCATAACTGTAAACCATTTTCGAAGACTCCCACAAAAATCCCAAGTACGTTTGCACGAGTGCAACGCGACGGCAACATCGCATCTCGAGTCTCGTTCTAGACCAACCTTGTGACGTCACGGCGTGGCCGGGCGTGCCAAACAATTCGCCGACTGTCGTAGTAACATGACCGGTTTTCCAGCACACAAGCTCACTTGACCGGTTTCACATTTTAATACTACCCAACATCTACCTGTTTGTCTGCGGCTACGTCAGCCGGTTTGCTCTCACAGTTGCCACGTTGTCACATCGTCAATGGGTCTACGCTACGATGGGTTAACCGAAATTAGGATGGGCAGTAACGGGACCATTGATTTACAACTTAAATTATGCCTTTTAAAGCAGTAAAGGTTGAACCTAACAGTTTATTTTTAAGGATTAACCGTTTTTTTACTTTTAATAATAGTTTAGGTAGGTAATAATTACAATTAACTAATTTAAAGGGTATAGTTGAAAAAAGCTTAAACGAATGTTTAAAAGTAGGCCTTCTACTATAATACCTCTACCTTTTTACCATAAACAAGCCATGACATGTAAACAAAGTTACCTGAAGATCGACATCCGTTTCTAAAAGATACCGTTGTATTTTCTAATTTAAATCTTGGGTGTTTTTTAAGACCCCGGAATATTTTATAGCCATTATTAAGTTTTTTATGTAGGTATCGTAAAAGGGTTTCTTTTGAAGGCAAGCAAGGGTGAAATGTCTCTTTGAGAACCGGTTTGGGTAACCCATTTTAAAAAGATGAAACCCTAGGGATGAAACTTCATAATTTTTATGTTGCCAGGAAGTAGGAAAATACAGAACGGGACTTATTTGTCACTTTGATTTTTGTTTTGTTATTTTATGTTGTTTTTAATTTATATTTACGGACAAAAGGAGCTTAAAAAACTCTCCTGAAAATTTGGTTGTTACTGCCTGGTCTTAATGCTATACTGGGTGCCCCCAAAAAATCTGATTTTCTTCAGATTTGACCTATAAAACCCTTTTGACTCCGTTGAACAGCAGTCTCTGAACTCGTCGTCATTCAGGCGACCTTGAGACCAAACTTTCTCACGATACTAGTTTAATCATACAACCCTCCACGGTCCAAAGGCATCTGCCTGCTACGGTGCGCTGCCTGTGCGTGGAGAAAAAAAAGCCCACGACCTCGGCAAAAGTGAGCGCTGGCTGACTGGTTTTGCGACCATATTCAGCGATTGTGGCTTTTGTTGATCATACATTTGTCAAAATTGGTTCTTTTGTTGAAATCAGCTTCTTTGTGTATCAATATAGACCATTTTTCTGTATTTGGTTAATTTTTCATGCGTGAGACCTTTTATAATATGTTATTAAACGTCAGTAATAATAAATAATTTTTAACATGGAATTAGTTTTTAAATAAAAACTAAATAATACATTTAGACATTTTAAAACCATAAAATCTGTTTTAAAATGTCTAATATCTCTACTGTTGAAAACAAACACCCAAAAACTAAACAAGTTTACTTAACGTAAATTAAAAATAACAAGACTCCAACAAACCCCACCACTTACTTCAAAACCCTCTCTATCCTAACACAAGACAAATAACCGTTACTCTCCCAGACAGACTACCCAGCTGACCCAGTAAAACCCAACCAGCTAACTGCGATAAAAAAAATTGTAGCACAAGGCACAGGTGCCTTTGCGTACTGTTTATCACTTTAATACGTCTTAGATGTTATTATCTATTGGCCAGCTGCTTTGAAAAAGGAAATCAGACATCTGCCGATCAAGACGGGACCCGTTGTTTCCTTTTTTCACCTCGTGAAAAGGCAACCCAGTCTAACCTACTTATTTTTTTTATTTTACGTCAAGATAATAGGGGCGCAAATGCCAGCATATGTCTATATCCGATGCGTTTTTGAATAGGTTTAAAATGTTATAAAACGGATTAAGATTAACGGTTCGATAGTCTTAAGTATGTTAAAAATGCTATTAATTGCAAATAATTTTATTTATAGGTGACTACATTTTTAATTTGGATTTTTTTAAAAACAAATTACTACCCTTTTTTCAAACAAAAAATAGATATATATTATTATTTCACTTATAATTTAAATTATACCTGTGGCTGAGATGTAAGTATTTTTGTGCTGAGAAAATTTCTATACATGTATATGTCTACAGAATATAAATATATAATTATTATTATTTAAAGTGACCAGATTCTGTCAAAAAATAGCGGGACATTTTGTGTAAATTAACCTTAATTGCAAAAATGACACAATCAACAATAATTAAGTAACGTCAAATTTACAATCATTGTGTCAATTTTGATACTAACAATTATTAAAATATAAAGTGAGGTTAGATTGCTCAGAGCTGTCATCAGTTATAGAATGTTTTGATTGGTCCTCACTTGAAGTTAGTAACTTCTAAATTATTTTTACAGCTCTCATAATCGAATACTTTCTTAGTGAGCGTTAACAATAAAAAAGCCTAAATTTTAGGCCGCTTGAAGATAAATATCTTGTAATTTGTTTTTTTTTTAATCCAAATTAAAAAATTATGAAGAATTATTTCTACTAGTCCCAATCTTTAAATAATTTTAAATTTTAATTAATTTAAAAGTAACAAACCTTGGCAGTGCTAAAAACCAACCCAAAATACGTCAACAACATTTTCAAATAATTTACTAAATCAAGAACTTTCTATGGTTAATAGGTACTTCTTTTAAGTCTAATGTTATGTTATTTTGTCCAATTGAAGGATACTACACAAAGAAAACACCGCAAAACTTGTAATCAAACGTCAAACGTGAAAGTATTTCAATTAGTGTCGCCACCTAGCGTCGAGTAGCGCAAGCCGCTGTTTCAGGGATCTTCCTTACCGGCCGTGCAATGCATTACGAGTTGATTTATTTGTTCGTTCAGTTCGGTTTTGCGAGGCTGTAAGTAGTTGTCCGTGTTCGCTTGAAATGTCTCTAGTGTCGTTTTTGTTGAGTAAACCGTTCGCGGGTTTGGAGATTAAGGATCAGATGGAAATTAAGAGGAAAGGAAGGCCGAAACCCGAGCTGACGCTCGAACATCAACACAGCAGTAATGGAGTCGAGTATTCGAGGAAATTTCGCAGCGACATCTACGATAGAAACGATTGGATATGCGGCTGCGAAGAACGGAACGCTTTGTTTTGTTTTCCCTGTATATTATTCGGGGGCGATGGCACGTGGTGCAAGTACGGCATGACGGACTTGGTGCATTTAGCGCAAAAAATACTTGCTCACGAGAATACTGAAAATCACATTGGCAACGTGTTAAAACTCGCTCTGATTGACAAGGAGAGGGCCATGAATATTTTTGATTTTCAACACAGAAACGTCGTGCAAATGCACAACGAAGATTGCACGAGGAATAGGCACATGTTGAACCTAATTATTAACTCGATTAGGTATTGCGAGGCTTTGGAGTATTCAACTTTCACGTATTCAAGACATTTTTACAACCGACCTGACTTGATAAACTTTGACGCAGAAATGGACACCGCGATACAAAAATACAAAGAAAAGGCGTGTTTTAAAGAACCTCTTAAAGTTGTACATAAAGCTTTACTCAAATCAATGTTGGCAGTGTACCACAGTCAAATTAAAATGGATATAAGTAACGCTAAATACGTTTCCTTGATTGTACAGCAGACGTCGACTTTGTTAAAACCAGTGCAATTCGTTATGTTGGTTAGGTACATAATAGATGGCGCTCCTGTTGAGAGGTTTTGGAAACTAATAATCCCGCACGAAAACAATGTCGACGTTATAGCCGAGTATATTATAAAGGAATTAAAAGACATAGTGCCTAGAAATGTTAAGTTGATTTCTCAATGCTACGACGGGGCTGCGTTTGTAGGTTCAAAGGTGTCAAAAATCGTACAGGAAACCTACAAAGACGCACACTATGTGCAATACTATGACTACAGCATGCAATACATTCTGGCTAATGTCGCCGCTGGCACTAATTTAGAGTGCAAACTATTTTTTGACAATATAACAAGTATTTGTGCGTTTTTTACAAAATATCCTAAACACGAAGAGGCTTTGGCGGAAGTTATCTCAAATTCATCGAAATACCCCAGTGGAATCAAGTGGGACATAAACTCCAAATTGATTAAAGTTATCTACGACTTTAGACATGAATTGATAGATATTCTCTACGGAATTGAGAACGAGGAAAATAATACAACGGGGAGCAGTCAAGAGGCTGGGGTACTTGCTAGGATTCTACAGCACGAAGATTTTGCCTATTGGATAGATGTGTTTAAAAAGGTGATGCCCCAACTGGATTTTTTGATTACCCAGTTGCATATTTTAAGGGAAAACCCTACAAAACTCAAACAAGGCATTGAACATTTCGAAAGTACGATGTATGTTATCATAAAACGTTTACGTATTGTCGAAGAACCCTCGAAATCTACCCAACCTCCAGCAAAAAAACGGTGTTTAACCGATCAAAAGAAAATCGAAGAAACAGAAATTGTTTGCAAGGCCATCATGGAGGATATAAGAAATAGGTTTAATTTTAACGGAGTGATTGCCACTGCATCTGTTTTCGACCACTGCCTATTTAAAGTCAGACCTTTTTTGTTTCCCGAAAAAGCCTTAAACCACATAATGAGGAAATATCCTTTTATAACGAGAAAAAGGCTTGAGCACGAGCTAACCGGTATCTACAGACAGCGCCAATTCGACCACCACTGTGGTTTAATATCTTTGTACAATTTATACAAAGAGTACGACCTGAACAAATCCTACAAAAATACCTTCGAGTTGCTTAACATTGCCATAACAACCCCAATGGTGACAACAGATGAAGAAAGGTGTTTTTCCACCCTGAAGAAAATTCAAACTTTCCTATCGAAAACCCAGCCGCACGAAGACATTAATACCTTAATATTTCTGGCTATAGATACAGAAGTTTTTCGGTACATGGACGATTTTAACAATCGCGTTATTGAGTTTTTCACCCATAGTTCTTCGCAAAGAAAATTGGATTTCAATTACCGGACATACTAGCTTTTGCAAGCCTTTTTATGAAATAATAAACCAGTTATCGCAAGCCTACATAGGTAAGAAATATGTTTTAACATGCATTTTGTCATGTAGTCCACATCGAAATACAAATATTTAAGGTTAACTATCTGTCAGTATTATTTTAAGAAAAATAGACGAAATTAGCGTTAAAGTGACAGATAGATAATCTTAAATATTTGAATTTAAATGTCAAAGTGCCAAACATATATGTCATGCATATATGTGACACACATCTATGATAGTCTATAGCCGGCTTCATGTTTTGTAGACCGTGAAAATTCTTTAATAACTATAAAACTTAACGTGAATTTTTAAGTATTTAAATTTTGCCAATTTCATTTAAATAAAACCCATTATTTATGTGTGATAAATAAAGAATGCAAAGTTTATTTGCCATTGTGTTGTGGCTCAAGGTTTTTGCACTTGTTAAAACCAGCGTAAAAATAAATATCAAATTTGAAAGCCTACCTTTAAAAAACGTTTTTTATGTCAATAGGCCAAATAGAGTTTTTGTGCTAAGCTCAAAGTTTACATTTTAAAAACCTGGTTAACCAAATTGGAAAAAAAAAAAATTATGACAATAACAAAAATACTTGTGACTTTCCCAGATTAAATAATCTACGCGCATGTTAATAAACTGCGATAAAGTAAATTTATTTATGTATGCTATGACAACATTACGAAACATTTCATCTATTTGCAAATACCCGCGACCCGATAAAACAAACATTATTTCTGTTTATTATTATCTCACTATCGTTGTATTTTTGGCGCGCAGTACTCGGCGAATAGGCAACGTCGCCGCCGCCGCTCGTGACGACACATCCGTTGTTGTTAAAAATACGTAACGCCGGAAAAAACCGCCGCGGCCGCATTCCGCGCGCCCGACCGCACACGATTTAGCGCGAAGCGCCGAGAGACCGAGGTGACGTCATCGCCAGACGCGCGGTAGGTCACTCGACGTGCACACGTACTCGCCGCGCAACCATGGCAACCTCCTCGGATTGCTGCGATCCTGTTAGGAGATTGCAAAATCGCGCCCAAACAGCGTCCGCCGTCGCTTACGTGCGACGGGAGTGGGGGGGCGAGGAAAGGCGGAAATTTGAGCTTTATTGACTGACAGCGCACGGCGGGGACTTGGCGAAATGGTACACTGAACTTTTATGACATAAACATAACGCTACTTTCAGCTGGTTTTTTTTTTCTTCGTTTTTCTTTTATATGGTTTGTTTTCTTTCAAAAGTGGGTTTTGTGTGCCCTCTTACATTTTAAATACAATACACAAAAAACCTTGATTTCAATTTAACAATTAAGGTTAGGTATTTTAAAAGTCAAAAGTTCCAATGTGTAGGTAATAATATTAATTTTTTTTTCCAAATTATTTATTTTTATGTGATTTTACAAATTTCACATCTAAATTTGAGTAAAACGTGCAATGCTAAAAATATATTTATATAACTACTCAATTAAAGCAGTAAAGGTTTTTAAAAAAGCATAAAACATTTGGTAAATTAAAAAAATTTAATCAAACAAAATTTATATAATCTTTTAAAAATAACTTTCCGTATAGTAATGGATATTTTTAAAGCCTTGCCGTGTTAACTTGATTAAAACTCGTACAGTACATAAATTAGTTATTTATTTATATTTCTGTAAAAAAACATAATGTCAAAACAATAGCTTAGGCGTGACTCATTTTGCAATATTTGCAAACTCCGCCAAGGTCGTATTTAAAATTCAAATCTATTTTTACGTCGCAATAAATAAAACTAAAGGAAATATATTTGTCGTAAAACACTCAATAAAACCTTATAATACTTGTAATTTGTAAATTTTTTAGCTCCAGTTACAAACGCCAACACTAACGGCACTAACTCTAGTTCGCCCCTGGCAAACAGCAGGACCGGCTCGCCTCCGGAAGCGAACCCTGCGGGCACCACCCAACAAAACCAGCCGACACCGGTTTCCGCGCAGAGCCCCATGGCCGCTCTTATGTCGGTGGCCGACAATTTGCCGCCGGGCAGCCCGCGCTCCGCCGTCGGCAGCCCGCCTGGCAACGCCGCGCCACGTTCAGCGTCCAGAGGGTCGCAACACTCGCCTAACTCTACCGGTAAGTTTCGTTATTATGTTGAAAAAATCGACGCCTGGCAAATTGTTCCCCAATAGTCGGAAAATTGAGGGCAAATGGTTGGCGAATAGTCGGCAATCATTTTAAGAGCGAAATGGTCACATATTGATAAGAGTGAAAAATCGACCTTTGGCAAATTGTTCCCCAATAGTATGAAAATTGTGGGCAAATGGTTGGCGAATAGTCGGCAATCATTTTAGGAGCGAAATGGTCCCATATTGATATTAATTAAACATGCAATAAGAGTGAAACATTGGACAAATAAACTTTGAAATGTCATGTGGTGTATGAAACCAATTTAACAGTTTATTTGTTTATTTAAATTTATTTATAGCCGATGACTTAATAAGTTGTAAAATAATATCTTAAAAAGCTAATTAGATATTTTTTATTTTTATTACTAGTTTGGCTTGTTTTGGGTACACCTCAGGCCAAACAAAACGTTATGTAACTGTTCTTTGTTTTTTGTTTATTCACATGGTAAATTTAGCCAAATTTGACCACCTGTTGCTTTAATTAACCTTTAGGCAGCATAAACAGCTTGAATTATGCATGAAAAAATGCCTAAAATATGAAATATTAAATGATAAAAAGATAAAAATTATTTTAAATTTTTTAAAAATATAATTAGTAAGTTTTTTGGGCACATATGTATATTGCAATTTTATTACAAAAACATTTCCATCTTATTTAATTGTTCCACGAATAAATAAAAAAACATGCAAAATATTGTAAAAATAGTAAAAAATTTCACTTTCCTAATTCAAAATGTGAATGTGCTATAAGTTTTAAGTTTTTTTATTTTATAAATTCGACTACCAAATTTAACACTCCTATTTGCCAAAATACCATTTGCTCCCCAAAATGTTCATTAAATATTTTTTACTGTTTTGTACCATTTTTCCTCTTTATCAAGGTGATTTGGTGGTCAGAAACTGCGCGAATACCTTATCAGAGCTGAGAGTATCTTGAAAAAAATATATACCTTAACTTTAAACTTTTACTTTTAATATTACTTTTTTAGAGAAAATTGGGGGAATGATTTAAAGTAATTACCTAGTCTAAAACTTGTTGAATTTTCATACTTAAAAGTAACTTAGTTACTCAAAAGTATCTTAGATGCTTTCATATAGTATCTTAGATACTTTCTAAAGTATTTTGAAACTAAATATACTTTCAACTCAAAGTATCTAAGTTATTTTGTTTAAAGTATCTTAAAAAAGTAACTAAAGTCTATTCAAATCTAAGCTGGACTAAATGTAAACACAATTCTTCGAATCGACCAATAAGAGCTCACAATCCGAGTCACACCATCAGAAGCGACCAATAGAAACGAGTTATCACGCGTCTGGGCGTTTTTGTTTAGTCCAGCTTGGATTTGAATAGACTTTAGTAACTTTTTTAGCTCTGTACCCTATTGGTATAATATTACTTGGCTAAAATTTTTATTCTTTCTTTGTAGCAGGCTCGACAAGTGGCAGAAGATCCTCTGGGTCGCGTCACGTTTCATCCACGACCGTCACATCTACGGAGGCGGGCGCCATGATCGGTCCCAACGTGGAGAACGGCGCCAACGGCGAAAGCGTCGCTACGACACCGGCCGCGTCGACCACCTTGAAGTGCACCCTTTGCCAGGAACGGCTCGAGGACACCCACTTTGTCCAATGTCCGTCCATCCCTCAGCACAAGTTCTGTTTTCCCTGCAGTCGGGAGAGCATCAAGAGACAGGGGGCTGGCTCAGAGGTAAATACTTAAAACTAACATGCTTCTTTTTGATTGGCTTTTTTTATATCAAATGAAGAATTCTCTCCCATTTGCAGTAGCATTGTCCTTTTTACTTTCTTCGATTCTTTACTTGTATGTAGGCTTTTTTGAGTTCAACATTATCATCAAGATCTTGATAGATATAGATATTGTTTCTTCTAATTATTGTATTTTTGTTAGAAGTTAAATTCTCATCATTCCTTCACATTTCTTTTTAAATTTTTTATTTTTTTTCATCTATAGATCCAAGTAATTACCAGCTTCATTTAGCATATTTAACTTAGATCAAGAAGGATTTAAAACAATGGTAATAATAATGTACAAAATATAAATGGGACCTCTAGTCGGAAAAAAGAAAATTAAATTTTAATTTTTTTTTAAATACAAAACTAAATTCTGAACATTTTGAGGCAAAATTTATTATTTTACCTGAAAAATTACTGTTTAAATATCCTCTAGCAGGTTACAGTTTTGTTAATTTTTTATGTCAATTTAAAGACGAAGATCTAAATTTAATAATAAAAATACATTTCTGCTTCTATATCGATTGTTGGTCTATTTTTAAGGGAAAAACTAACGGTAATTCCAATAAATACGACATTTCCCGTGTAAGAATTTTTAATAGTTTGTGATAATATTTTGCAGTTATAGTAATAAAATATTTTCTTAACATAATCATATTTTGAAGTAGTTATAAATAATTGTTAAGTTTAATTAAAATAATAATGGGGAATGGTAATTGTTAAGTTAAATTAAAATAATAATGGGGAATGGTAATGGTGAAAATTACGTCAAAAATGTTTACTTTATTTTCGTATAGATGTCGCTTTAGGGTATTTTCACGAAACCTTACCCCACCTTGACAAAAAATCAGATGTGTTATTTAACAAAATAACAACTATTTCTGAAGTCAAATAGTTTAATTGCGACGTAATTTATAACCTTAAAATATTCGTACATTGTGACGCATTAAGAATAAACACGGAAGAGTTTCAATACTCGATAAAATGTTCAAATGTCGCACCCGTTACATTTTGAGAAAATTTTAGAAAATAAAGTAAACAATATTTGTGCATTTAAAATACGTGCTTGTTTAAGGTTACCATTCAAGTTTTACACAAAAAATTATTACTAAATGCTTTCATCCAAAATTTTACAGTATCAACTTTATTCATGACGTTATAAAAGGTTTTCTATACAAGTTTTTATTGACATTTTGTTTGAGTTAAATACCTAATTTTTTATACTATTTTTTATTTTAACGTATTTTGGTATATATGAACAAACACTTTTTTATCATGAAAAACGCAGTTTTATTGTCGCACCCGTTACAATGGAAATACCCTAATATTTAATTTAAATTATTTTTTAGATAATTTTAAGTATTTTTTTTGAAATGGCGTTTATGTTAATACATAATGTACAAATGAAAACAGATTAAACTATGAGTCTAAATGTTGCACCCGCGATTTGTTTATAGCATTGAAATGCTTGGTTTTATGACTACAATATTGTGATTGGAGTTTCTATGCGACGCCTCGTAATTGGGTTATTTCTCGATTTTAGTGTTTTGTTTTGTTTCAGGTATATTGCCCAAGTGGCGAGAAATGCCCGCTGGCCAATTCGAACGTCCCCTGGGCGTTTATGCAAGGCGAGATAGCCACAATCCTCGGAGAAGAGTATAAAGTAAAGAAGGAAAGGGACACTTAATCTAAAATGATGACACACGACAGGTGTTGGATATTTGTACTCAACGTCGGTTGAGAAAAAGTCTCTTTTTGATTAAAGAGACGAAATTTTAGGGCTCGCGATGGACGGAAACGGAATTATTTAGATGGCGGAAATTTAAGTTGTACATTGAAAAAGGCTGTGTCGAGTTATTTTTTTTGTTTATTGTTAAAAAAATACTGGGCTCCGGGCTCGAGTCGTATGATTATATATGTACATACCGAATTATTTGAAAGGCTACAGTCGCCGAAGTAAATAATATTGTCGAGAGATAATTTTTTCGTCAAACATTCGATTTTTGTTGTTATTTGTCTAGCTTGCGACTATAAAGGACTTTTTGTTTATTATTTTGTAAATAATGTATATAAAAAATGTGCTGCAGTAGCAAAAAATATGTACAAAATATATTATTTAAGATGTTAGTCATAGTTTCCTTTCATTTATTTTGGTTTTAATCGAAAAAAAAAAACGCACAACTGGCGGGGGGCGTTTGTAAAACGCTGTCCGATTTTAAATATTTCTAGTTGTTGTATTTAGAGAAAAGGCCTCCTCTCACTTATATTAATCTATAAATAATGTTATAAACAGCTGTAAATATTATATATTCATCAGCGAATTATTATTGAAACGACATAAAAATCAATATGGTTCAAAATGCCGTTTTTTAGTTTACGATTTTATGTTTTAATTGTGGTACGTTTGGGCCATCGCTTTTTTTATTTATGGAAAGTACACTAGTCAAAACGTGAAGTGAAAACTTCATAAATAGGAACTACAAAACTCGCTGATATCTTATAAGAATGAATATTTAAATAAAGAAAACTTCAAGGCGGTTTGTACATTGAAGTAGCGCGGTATTTTTGTGTAGCCTGTATAATATGGTGATTTTCATCGCGCTATTCATTGTATTAACCGTCTTATACTCCCTTCTATGCGCCTAATATAAACGTTAAAAATATGCTGCATAAACATTTTTTAATGTATATATTGGTGCGTTAGCCACTTTTGTATGATTTTAATAGGCATTGTACCTTGATACATTGATTTGGTCAATTTACAATAATATTAAATGTCTACCTACTCTACTTGTATATTAACACTGTTGTCTTTATCATAATTCTTAAGGGTTGTTTAGAAAACATTAAAACACCGCGTTGAGAAGGGATAATTTCAAATTAAAGTATTTTTCTACCGAACTACATACAGTAAAATGAAATTAGACAATAATCCGAGGCAGAAATATACAATTTTTAACATTTTCTAAACAATTTTAATGTATAGACATTTGTATATATTATTGTATACCTTATATATTGTATAATCGACATTGTTAAACATAAAAAAGCGACCAATGAAGAATGAGTACTACTTCATTACTTAACAATAAAATAATTGAATACAATTGTTTAGTTTTTCAGTATTAGTACTATAAATACTAATGTTATTTCTGAAACGTTTTGTGATTAAGTATTCTTGACCTATCACTTGTATAAGTATGTGAAACAATAAATATTGTAGATCAGTTTTAATTGTAAGATTTGTGATATATAAAGCACAGATAAACGATTGTATTGACAATGTCAGGAAAATTGTATATTTGTAGTTGTTAATTTGTATAACAACACGACATCTTATTATTTAAAAAAGCTTGTACAATCTATAATAGTTGATGTCAAATAAAATGAAATATTAATGTCCAAAATTTGTTTTTTTCCTTTCCTATACAGGGTGTCACCAAATAAGAATAAACACGGAACAGTTTCAATACTCGATAAAATGTTCAAATGACGCACCCGTTACATTTTGAGAACATTTTAGAAAATAAAGTATACAATATTTGGGCATTTAAAATACGTGCTTGTTTAAGGTTACTATTCAAGTTTTACACAAAAATTATTACCATATGCTTTCATCCAAAATTTTACAGTATCAACTTTAGAAGCCAACTTGGTCGCGCCCGTTACGCTATTCATGACGTTATAAAAGGTTTTCTATACAAGTTTTTATTGACATTTTGTTTCGTTAAATACCTAATTTTTTATACTATTTTTTATATTAACGTATCTTGATATATTTGAACAAACACTTTATTATGAAAAAACGCAGTTTTAGTGTCGCACCCGTTACAATGGAAATACCCATTAGAGCTACTGTTTTTTAATAAAAAAATATTTTTGACAAAACCAGGGAGTCACTGGGTGTCAGTGATAAAAAAACGATTAAATGTAAAAGGGTGGAAAAGCAGGTAGCAAGTGTGGTGGACATTTTTCGATTGCCTTATTTCACATTACATATTAAGAAAACCTTTTTTTTTTAATTACCCATTTTTGGAAGCAGTCGGTACCTATTTACAAAAAAACTTAATATAGAAGTATTTTTAAATTGTATTACATTTTTAGTGAGGCAACATCAAAATTGGAGAAAAAAATTGATAAAACAAATCAAATAATGGACAAAATGAGCGGTTATTTGTTGCAAATACACAATTCGTTGGAGACAAGAAAAGAAAAGCAACCCTCTAAAAAAATCAGGAGGTCACCTAGTAATGAAACACAAAAAGAAAATAAAAATGAGGAAGTTAAAATATTGTACAGTGAAGACAGTCAGATGTTATCTATGGATGGATCTTCCAGTAAACTAGTTACGAATATTGAAGAAAAACTTCAACAAGTTGAAGAAAAAATAGAAACTGTGGATTCCAATAAAAGTAGGAAACATAGAGCTGTTGCAACTTAAGTTTTAAATATTTCAGGGAAAAGGGCATAACATTGCCTACAATATTGCTTCAATTGTTAAATTGAATAAATCTTCATTTAAATTTTAGATCCGCCGTTAAATTTTTACAACTCTGTTGAAGTACAAGTGAATATGGATATGGACATGAATACAAATATAAATCGTCCAGAAGTATGTGAGTTTTGCCCTGGAACAGATCAAACAAGGGTAGCATCGATTCAAGTGGAACCACCAAAGGAAGAAACTGCACAGGATGTTTTACCATCTGAATCATCAGATCATGAAGCGGTAGCAGAAAATAGGTTGAGTTTTCAATTACTACCACCCATTTCTATAAGAACAAACTTACAAGTCATCCATACTTTGGATCTTTCAATAAGTTCTCACGGATTTTCGACGAACGCTGTCAATGATAATAACAACATTCGATACTTTGAGATTCAGAGGTAAGTAAATGATCAATGGACGAAGTTCAGCATTATTATAGCTGGTCTTTTACTTAATGGGTTAAAGCAAAAACAAATTATTTTGAAATAAAGCTTCGCATTTTGTAGATTACTTTGGATTTGGACCTAAATCAGGCCCTGTTTGTAAACAAACATTCGTTGAAATCTTCTCTTCTTAATCTTCTTATTCCACATGTTTTGTTCTTTTGCTTAAAATCTCTAATTTTCGGTGTTTTAGAAACTGCTGAAGTATATTTATTTGATGTATTTATTTTTTAGCAATATCATTCAAAATACCGATTCAGTTTTAAGCTGCGATGTTAAAAGGATGAGCTTGGAACCTTCCCGGGAAAATACGAGACAACCTTCGTGCGGATGCCTTCAAAAACGAACCAATTTGCCGTGCAAGTGCGAGTTTGTTGAGAATGAAATTCTAAATATAGCAGCTTTAAAAAGTAATGATCGATAACATGTTATTGCTAGAATGTTAAATTATTTTTTTTTGTAGAAAATCAAAACACCACCTGCAGTTGCAACACCGAGAATGTTCCATTGGTGTTGAGAGAGAAAGTTACAAACTTGTTCGAAATAAAGGAAAATATAGAAGAACATTTAAAACACTTGGATAACGATGATGCCAAAATAGAATTTTTAAGGAAATTGCCGGAAATATACAGCTCCTTTTTAAGTGATACGGACATAAACATTTTGGACCTTTATAAATCCTTTCAGCTGGTGGGCGCGAACAGACCCCACGAACCTGACCCTTTGAGCAAGGCGTCCGCAGACAAACTGTTTGAAATCGACGATAAAATTTACAAATCCTTTGTAAATCCGAAAGGAGTAACACCAGGGATTGCGGACGATGCGGCAGGTAAAAAAATAACAATTTCATTTTTGGCGAACATACATTCTTAATTAGATGCTGATACTGAATCGTTGGATAATTTTAAGGAAAAAAGATTACATCATGAAGTCGGCAAACATTGCAGCAATATTTCGTAAGGTTTCTTTCCCTGTGGATATATCCACAACGAAATCTGGGAGCACAATACCCAGACAGCACATATATCCATTGGACGACCATTGTACATCCAAACGTCCAATGTAAGTCCATTTGACGTCCAATGGACATCTTGTGCTGTATGGGTAGATGCAGTGTTAGTTAGATATTTAGAGAGATTTTAATAACAAATGTATACTTTAAGTATCATAAGCCTATTGTTTCGTACCTGACAAAACAACCATAATAATATTAAATTCATGATCCAAGATTTTAGTCAATTCAGTTAGCACCCAATTAAAAAACACCCTGTATATTTCATTATTATTTTATTTGTAGTTGTAGCTGAGTCGAGTTCCACGGTTCCGTATATAGGTAAGTTATTTAAAATGTTAAAGCTATGACTATAGTCAACAAATATTTAATCAAAACCGTTTTATTTAAGGATTTTTTATTTAATAACGTAGTGCTTCATAAAGTTTCTTTAATTAACGTATGTAGTATTTGTGCTGAATCCAAATCCGTTGATTTTTTTTTTCTATTACGTATAGTTTTGTTGTTTGTTGTTTCTGAGGTTACGATTGTACTAGAAAGAAAGGTTAGTGCATGATTTCTAAAAATAGAGGTGATTGTAACCTCCAGGGGATTTCCCGGAAGATTAACCAAATTTGGTTATAAAATTTTTTTTATTTTAATTCCGTTGTAATAGTAACTCATGGTTCAAGAATTTTTCTCTATTGAAAACAAATAAACACATGTGTGTCTTAAAAACACTATCTTGAATATTTCTAAAATTTTAAGAATCGTGCTAATTTTGAAAATTTTGGAAATTATGAAATTTTGTAAATTTTTGAAAATTTAAAAAAACTTCGAAATTTTGGAAATTTTCACCCACCTTAACGTTTTTTACTTGTTTCATTTGATACCTATGTATGTCAAGGAGGTTGTGAAGAAATAAGCAATCCGTCTTACGGAGACCGCCATATTGATTTGATTTATTTTTATCTTTTTGCTACTTATGCACTTGAATCAATAAAACCCATGATACAAAGAAAACATGATACAAAGAATCATGAATAAAACCTATCCCGCGGTAGTTATAAATAAATGACATAAACTCTGCGACTTCATGCTCTCCTGATGCAGTTATAACTTCAAAAATTGATTTGAACGCGACATACATACACACCTTCCTTTGTTCAATAAAAAATGCAGCATTTTGTAATCTTTAAATCCCAAAAAATCTAATTTTTAACGTGTTTTTTAGATAAACGAAAAAGAAATAGTCCAGATATAAGGAAATATATTCCGAAAAATTTCTACATATGCCAGGCATCTCAATGCAACTTAGTTATTGATCAATGTCTCAGCAAAAATGCCTCCGATGATAATTCTGCAAGATTGGAATTTTTTTCGAAAAAAACTTCTCGAAAAAACCGCAAGGAATACTTGAAGCAAGAAGATGATATTATTTTGGAAGAAACGTTTAAACAACTGCCAAAAACAATATCCAATGTGACCGGAATGGAAAAAGAGATCGCAAATTTATCTTTGGATGATTTCAATAAAACTGTTCCCGCTGAAAAACCAATTTCAACGCATATCAAAAGTGAACCGGCAGAGTCCGTACACCATTTACTTCACAGATCGTTAAGCAAACTTCAACAAACATATAAGAATAAGAGAAGCCAGCATGAATTATTAAAGAAGTCTAATGCTAGCATCGTTTCACAGGAAAAAACAATGTCAAATCAAAGTATCGAGCAAGAAATAATTAACAAAAGTGGCTCAATCAATGATCCCCAGAAGACAAGTTCAAACAAAATGATTGAAATAAACAGTGGTAAGGAGAAAATTACTCTAAATGATGAATACATCCAGGAAAAAATAGACAGTAAGCTGAGTAAAATGAAGGAAAATCTGCCGTCGGATGAGTCGGTCGAAGTTGATGAGATTAGCATTAGTATAAGCTACTCCACTGAAGAGTCCATAACGCCATTATCAGTTAAAAAACCCCCTCACAGCTTTCAGCCGGTGTACACTTTGGATATTACCTATGCTAATATAAAGAAAGACGAAGTGGAAAAAAATAAGGAAGAAGAGAAACCCAAAGAGATTGTTGTTAAAAAGCAATCATCGAAAATTAGTACTAAACAAAGTGTAGATGATTCTACTGGTTACGTGAAATGTTGTAACCGCAGTAAAAAGAAAAAGGTTAAAGACGAAGAAATTTCTTTGAAAACATTATCAAATGAGACAATGATGCATGTAGAAGATTTGGATAATTTAACCAGAGCACGGATAGACGATCAAATGATAGACATACAAAATAGCGAGCTGCCAAGAATATTTCAGAAAGCGTTGGAAGAAGCCAATAAAGATGTTAAGGATTTGAAAAGCGCTGATCCGACAAAAAGTAAAGTAGAAACTTTCACCAGAGTTTTAACCGAACCACAATCAAGTCAGCTATCTACAAATGTCACAAGCCGTATGGAGTTACTGCAGAGAACAAACTCTGATAATGACTTGTATTACAACCCCTTGGTGGCCAACACAAATCCGCAAACAAGACGAAGTACTGTTAAAAGAGAGCCAACTGTCGTCGATTTCAGTAAAATGAATAGCTTCCAAGAGGCTCAAAATAACATGGTTTTAATAGGTGATCAGAACATTCAACAAGTGTCCAAAACAAAAAAATCCACTTCTTTTGAGGAAAGAAGGAAAAGCATGCCAAAAATTAAAACTTTGGTGAACGAACCCACACAAAATTACATGGTTTTAATCGGAGATCAGAAAAAAGAACACAAAATGAGGAAGTCCACTTATGTTGAGGAAAGAAAAAAAAACATGCCCAAAGTGAAATCTTTGTTCATTAATAATAACAAACCATATCACAGCAGCACTAGCGAATCCGTTAGTTTAAGACCAAAAAAACGCCAAAGGAGACTCACAATACCACACAACATTCCAGAAGACCTTTCAGAAGGTGAAAAAAATTGCAACTGTAGTTTAAGCAGTGGAGAATTGCATGTCTGCTCAATGTCACCTTTTAGGAAAAAATATAGAGAACAACTCAAAAAATCCGAAATTAACGTTCAAAATCACAGAGCCTTCTACAATAATTGGGTTTCTTATTACATACAAGATAAATTAATAAGCCCTGGTGATTCCACAATGCTTAAAGAACAGTAATGTTTATGTATTAATTTGTTCAATAAACGTGTTTTCCTGTATTTTGTTGTTTTATTTATTAAAGACTATTATAAAATATATTCATAAATAGTTATTTGTCATTATGTCAAGAAGGTAGAAAGTGTGGTTAGGTGGACCTGACAGAAGTCGAATTTTTTTATTGGTCCAAAGCGGTAAATAATTTTTTTCTACGACCACTAAGTATGTACCTAAGTCCCATTTCGTAATAGCATCGTTGCTTAGAAAATGAATCTTTTCATTGGCAAGGCAAAACACGAATGTAAAGTGACATTTCTGTGTGAAAAGTGACAGGTCTGTCAAACACTTAAGGTTATTTTTTTTGTATTTGAAAATAATAAAAAATAAAAGGGTCGTGTTGTGTTTTACTTGCAAGAAAAGCTTTCTTCAAGCTCGTGTTAATGCACACTCGGCCTAACGGCCTTGTGACCAACTAAAACACTCGCATGAAAAAGTCGCTTTTCAACACTTGTAAAACAAATAACTATTAAGTGCCTAGCACCTAGGCTATAATCAAGTAACGATAACAATTACGTTTAAATTTTAAACCAATTAAAGATAAAACATACTTACCTGCTAATTATCCAACACCATATAACAAATTTATGTCCCATTACATTATTTTTCTATGCTGAAACGCAAAGGTTTTACAAAATTGCATGCTTGAATACTGGGTTGCCTATATTATAATTAAAAAGTCGACAAAAAAGACTGCCATCTATCGCGCATTTCGGTTGTTAGTCTCATCTCAACCGATAAACAAATTGACATAATGAAGTATACAGCGCAGGAGGTGGTTAAAGAAAAAACATGGCCGAAGTATAAGTGTTAGCTGACAGTTGAGGTATCGTGTATGAACGGAAAAATGTGTAAATAAATCGTAAGTGCGTGTGCAAAGTGGTCTGTGATCGAAAAATAGCGTCGGGTAATCGTTTTGTGTTTCTTGTAAATATAATGTGAAAGTGAAGTGTTCGAAAAAGTGTTGTTTAATGAACACCTGGTAAATTCTCCACCGGGCTTTATATTTTATATTCATAATGAAAATTATTTATATTACGAGGACATTTACAAGGATTGTTGTTTTAAATTGGTAAATATCCGTTTTTTTACTTAACGTGTTTTTCGTTTGTTTTATTATTAAGAAACATAATCAAAACAAATGCCATTCAATATACGAAATTATTTCGCTATGTTCCCTGTTTGGTTTTTAAGATAATTGATTACAAAAAACAAAAGTTTCTTATACTTTAAGTGGGTATTTTTTAAAAGGTGTTAATCATTTTTTATCTGTTGAAAAACAAACTTTCGTTTGAAACCAATTAACCTCCTAGATTGCACCTAAACATAAATGTTTTATTTATATATTTCTTTAAAATGAAAAACAAATCGACTTTTATTATCTCTATTAAAATTATATTTGGAATAAATAACAAACTACTTAAATACTAATTCCAATAAGACTATGTAGGTATCTTTAGTTATATTTGACATAAATAATCGGTTTTAAAGGTAACCTATGCTATTTTAACTTATTTATATTTAAATAATTTGGAATTTATTATTCTCTATAACATATATTTATTATTCTCTATAACATATATATATATGTTAAATAATATAATATTATACCTAATCAATGTTTGTGTTTTTTATTTAAATTTAAAATTATTTAGTCATGTTGTATAAGTTATTTATTTATATATGTTATCAAATTAAGACAGAACAATAATAGAATTAAAAAATTAATCGGATAGCGACATTTATTTATTTTTAATAATAAAATTGGAATTTAATTAGTCCCTGAATTTTTCAGCTAAATTATTTTAATTATTCAATTGTTTTTATTATTTTTTACATTGCATTGTGTTTCATTTATTTCTATATAAAAACAAGTAGGTAAAATACGTACCTATCCATATTTTGGACTAGGTTTGGGTGGTTATTGAAAAATTACCGGGTTTCCAGTTACTTAATTTAATTTAAAAAAATAACTGGATAGGGGGCCGTTCATAAATTACGTCACAGGTAAATTATGTGGCATAATAGCATTATTATAGCTTACGATATTTATATTTACGATATATTGTTTTAATCAGAAAAAATATCCTCACACTCATAAGCCTATATAGACTTTATTTTTGTACGCAGTTCAAAACTCAAATTATTATACACCGCCGTACAATAATAAAATTGCATTGAAATTACAAAGAAAGATTTATCGCATTCAGCTTTTAATCATAGCAGATAACTAAAAATTACAGGTGACTGTAGAATAAATTCATACACAAAACCTATAATATTACTATAATATTATTATGTATGTAAAACGTCAAACCCAAGGTCAAACCTATTTTTATGTAATTTTTTTGATTTTTTAAATTTTTATTACGATATTAAAAAAAAACAAAAAAAAGCTTGACTATAATAATATTACCTATATTAGCTCTACCTTATTCTTTTATTATTTTATTTAACAAAATAAGCAGTTTTTCTATGCATATATATATGCATATACCTATGCATAGAAGAATATATGAATTTATTTAAATAGTGTCAAAATATTGTGCTTAGTGTTTTTTTAGATTTTAGAAACTTTTTTTAAAATTTAATCATTTAAATCGTGATTTAAATCAAATGATTTATTTATTATTTATTTATTATTAAAAAAGGCTTATAATTTAACAAAAATCAAAAAAATCATTTTTTGTTAATTTTTTTGATTTTTTTAATAAAAATCATTGATTTTTGTTTTTTTTTTTAATATGATTTTTTGAAACCTGTACCTACTTAATGATTATATTTATAAATATGATTTTAAAATTAAAAATTGCTATGCTCTCGGTTTAAATTTTTGAGTGTCTATAAAAGAAACATAGGTAATAGGTTTATTTTAATATATGATATAGGTATATAAGTAGGTATAATATATACAGGGTGAGTTTTAAGTTGACGCGTTCCTTTTAACAGTGTGTAGAAATCAGATAAATCAGATAAACAAATAAATATTTTAAGTAACTTTTTTATCAAAACTCAAAAATAAGAGAGTTATAGGCCTTCCAAGTTTAATTAAATTTTAAGCCGGTCCTGGCTATTGTTAACAAAAAACATAACCATAAAAATAAAAATAACAAAATAAACAATGCAAAATGCCATCTATGACAACAAACATAACCATTTAAATCAAAATGACATTTAGCAATGAAAAATGTCAGTTTTTTTGTGCCTCAATTATTGTTAAAAATGGTTCATAATTATAGCAATAATGAATTAGTGGAAATGTTACTAATTTATGGAGAGTGTCGTCAAAATGCAAATGCTGCAACTTAGTCAATAATGACATTTTTTATTGCAAAATGTCAATTTGATTTAAATGGTTATGTTTGTTGTCAAATATGACATTTTGCATTGTTTATTTTGATATTTTTATGGTTATGTTTTTCGTTAACAATAGCCAGGACCGGCTTAAAATTTAATTAAACTTTGATTGGCTATAACTTTTTTATTTTTGAGTTTTGATAAAAAAGTTACTCAAAATTTTTATTTGTCTAGCTGATTTCTACACACTGTTAAAAGGAACGCGTCAACTTAAAACTCACCCTGTATATTTCTTATAAGAAACGGTTTTGGGTCCTATACAGGGGCAGACCGTTACCTTAGAGGGCCTTAGGGTAAGGCTGTTTGGGGGACTATACAAGTTTGGGTTTTGTCAAAAAGATTTCTTATATTTATAGATATTAAACAACTTTTTAAATTGATGCACTTACACACAGTTATAATAAAAAAGGGATTTAATTTTTCCGTGGGAATTATCCAAACTCGTAAACGGATCAATGGACTAAAATGAACAAAACATATTTTTATAGAAAATGAAACGGTCTACAAATAAGGTCTCTTATTTTTTAATTATAAATATACAGTACCTACTTTTACAAACATGATAAAATGTTTTAGACAAAACCTACATATTTTTAGTCGAATAGGTAGGTAATCCGAATCTGCAATAAAAAATAGGATGTTCCATTGGAAAGTTACCTTATGACTTGGATGAGAGTATGGTACTAATATGGTACTAATTTATTACCCCCCTCGAATCATTTAATTTTTATTTTAATTTCTTTCTGTGAAATATTTACTGAGATAGTTATTTTAGTTTCAAGTTAGAAGTAAAAAAAAAGTGAAATGTGATGTGATTTTTTATAAATAAACAATTTTGAACCTTATTAATTAATTTATAAATGTTGTTATACGTAGAAAGTAGTAGGTAATAAAATGTGTGTATTTTGTTAGAGTTGTCTTGCCTGATCTCAACGGATGCCTCCGCTGGTGGACGACTGCCAGCTGAGGTCCATGGAAGCGTCCAGAAATGGAGACATGGTCAGCTCGGTACATGTCTACGGCGGCGACGTGGTCGAGCGGCGCGACTCGAGCGGCAGATCGAGCGCGACCAGCTCGCGCACCGGCGGCGGCCCGCCCTACCTGCGCACCGCGCTCTACGACTACGACGCGCAGGGCGAGGACGAGCTCTCGCTGCGCCAAGGCCAGATCGTCGTCGTCCTGTCCGAAGACGCCAAGATCTCGGGCGACGAGGGATGGTGGACCGGCAAGATCGGCGACAAGGTACCCATACCTACTCCAACTTCATTTTACACTAATCACTAAATACAGTGTGTATTAAAACAAATTTAAATAAAACAAGTGCCAAACCCCGCCCACTGTGGTAGGGATTGAATTTTACAATTATTTTTCTTTGAGAATTTATAGGTTTTATTTTTATCGAATTCGTTTGTTTTGTTTTAATGCATTTCTGCAAATAAAAACTAAGTATTGTTTAAAATCCATTAAATTTCAGTTAATGGCGAAAATGTATTTCTTAAAAACTATACACATTTCCCTACGACAGCGTCGGAGCTACTGAACAAACTGCATGCCCTTGTATCTGGCTGCATGCCGCGCTGTTGCCATATGCTATTATTGTTTCCTAAAAGGGTTGTTTTTCTTATTTTTTAATATTAAAAGTAAGAAAATTAACTAAATCAAATTATTTTTGACATATTATTAATTTTTTTGTTATTTTTAAAGTTTCAAACAAATAAAATTGAACTATTTATTAAATAGGTAATTATAATCGTTCTCTTCTGATTTAAAACAACCTGGCAACTATGGTTCGTAATTACGAATGGCTTGGTTTAAACCACGCCCAATTAAAGTTTGTTTTCTTTTCTCATAGTGAACTTTACTACTAAAATTAAGAATTATCCTTGGAGAATACCCAAACACTTTTACAATTATTTAAACTCAACAATAACTTGCGTTTTAGCAAAACTTATAAGAAGCGATGCGTTCCATACAATTTTTAAAACCTTTCTCCCTGTTTTCTTGCTTCCCTTTACTTGCTTTGTGTACCTGGACCCTTGTTTCTTGCATCATCTGGACACCAGATTTTTAGTCAAAGTTCAAACACCTTGTAATTTCTTTACTTTTTACATAGGTTTGCTAGGCCGTTTACAACCAAACTTTAGAAAATAAAATTTTTAATTTAAAATAAATTTGTAAAACGTATTAAAGTAGTGAACCATTACAATATATATTACGTATTAAATAAGATGAAATAGTTAATTCCAAGTTTGTTTGTTGTGAAGGTGGGCATATTCCCGTCGAACTTCGTCGCCGACGAGGAGGTGAGGAACCAAGTGAACTCGATCATAGCGGACATAAAAGTGATAAAAATCGACTTCAACAGTTTGCAACTGGAAGAGGTGATAGGGGTGGGCGGGTTCGGCAAAGTGTACCGCGGCGTGTGGAACGACGTCGAGGTGGCCGTGAAGGCGGCACGGCAGGAACACGACACGGAAATGTCGGTGACGCGGGAGAACGTGATCAAAGAGGCGAAACTGTTTTCCCTCCTGCGGCACGAGAACATCGTGTCGCTGGAGGGCGTGTGCCTCGAGGAGCCGAACCTGTGTCTCGTGCTCGAGTACTGCCGCGGCGGCTCCCTCAACCGGGTGCTGGCCGGAAGGAAGATCAGGCCGGACGTCCTGGTCGACTGGGCCATACAGATCGCCAAGGGGATGCACTACCTGCACTGCGATGCGCCCATCTCTCTAATTCATCGTGACCTGAAAAGCTCCAACGGTGAGTACTCTATCTCGACAAATTTCCTACATTTCAAAATCACACTTGACTAACATTAAAAGCTCATTCACATCCACTTAAAATGCGTAACTTAACTTAACTTAACTTAAGAAACCTACGTCTGTTTACATTAACTTAATACAGGCAAAGAACGCAATATACAAGCACGCGCAATGTAGATTGGGTTGCCTATCTATCTATAAAAGTGAAACAACAAGATAGCGCTATATCGTTTTACTGGGCATGTGATTGGCTCACGTAAGAAACGTATTCCCTTATTCCCAACTATTGGTTATACGTTAAGTTACGTGTGATAAGTTTTCTACGAATGTAAACAGCTGCATTGGTTTCAATGTATTTCAACTTTCGTCTCTCACGTACGTTAAGTTAAGTTACGCGTATTAAGTGGATGTGAATGAGCTTTAAGAATGTGTAAACGCCTGGGCTGGTACCAGTTTAGTATAAGAAACATGATTATCGTTTTTTACCAATATCAATACGAAGTAAATATTATACTTTAAGCACTTTGTGTTTGTTTAACATATCACCAAAGTTGTCCCTAAATTTTTTCTTAAATCTTGAAAATCCTTAAATTCTACTAAATTTGCCATCAATCTCCCGAAACTCGTAAAAATTTAATATAAATAGGCCAACCTGACTTCGTTTAATTATGGTAGTTGAGGGGCTAAAAAAGTTCCTTTTTAAAAAAAATATATTTTTAGGTTCTAGCTTATTAAATTCTTTTTAAAATGATACATCACAACCTTCATTTTTCTTAAAAACAACAAATTATACCTAAAAACAAAATCCACAAAATTGTCATTTTTAGCCATATTTCGACAAAAATATACCGTGTTAATAGATTATAAACGCTTTTAAAATTTTAAATCGATATCTTTTTTTGTTCCCCAAAAACTTCTAATGAACCGCGAATGTGAAACACCCTGTATATCAAACAAAAGAATTTTTAATTGTCTTTTCAATGATAGCTAAAATTGTAAACAATTTAAAGAATGTTTTGCTGGATTATGCAAACTTTATATTTTTTCCTCGATTTTTTCTATTATGAGATTTTTTAGTATTAAGATCCACATTACAATAATGATATATACATATATATATGTAGGGAAATAATCAGCAATGATGGTAAATCGGTTTTATTTACAAGTGACTATGATATTACACATTAATTAAAAATAGCAAAAAGGTTAAAAATTAAAATACGTCTTCAGTTCGCAACGGCCCGTTAAAATCTGTCCTTCTTGTTGAACGCAGGTACCCGTTACACATCTGGGCTGAAAACTTTCTCTCCCTCTACGTCACAGATATTGCCAGACGCCCCTAGGAATTCCAATATTTGACCTGTCTTGTTCTTATCCTGTCATAAACAAACTAAAAATATACCTACTTAAAAGCAAAATTATGTACGGATTATATTTCTCAGGCAAAACAAAATTTATTATATACAACTTAAATATTTAGACAAAAAACAGATACTACAATCGGCCATCCTACAAAATAATCTCTGCCCTCAGAGGTTGTCTTCGGCGTCTTCGTCGCTGGTATCAGTTTCGTTGTCGCAGCTGGCCCACGATTTCATTTGGCTAGCGGCTGATGACGTCTCCTGTGGTCCTTCATGTTCGCCGACTTTAGCAACACTGTACCGATCGTGTCGCATTACTCGTACGATCCTGTGGTTTTTCTACGTGTGCGAGGTCAATTAACTTCGCTTCATTGATTAAATTGATTTTAAAAATATCCGGCACTTCCGAGTTATTTTCCGTTTCATCTATTTTCGCGAACGTAACATCACCCCCTTTGACGCGCAGTTCCACTTTGTTAAGAAAATCCGTTCCTAGCAGCAATCCACGTTTAAGAATTTCGCCCGCCACGACGTGAAACGTAACCGGATAATTTTCTCTATCGATATTTACGTTAACTGTAAATTCACCTAAAGTTTCGTTACCGCTAGAACCAAGTCCCTCAAACTTAACTTTACGATCTCGCAAGGCGGGAGATCCGATTTTCACATATTCGTCCGTTCGCATGAAAGTCAAATCACTACCCGTATCTACTAATGCTGCAAACTTGTGCTGTCCTATCAGCACTTCTTTCATATACTTTCGTTCACCTGGTCGTGAAACAACATTAGTTTCTTTGCTAGTTTCTTTTATGGGACATTTAGCCGCTATGTGCCCAAACACATTACAATTAAAACACTTAACGCCCTTTTGTTTTGCCGGACACATCGCACTTATGTGGTTTGTTTCACCACAGTTGAAACACCGTTTCGGCTTCGCATATTCTATCACTGAAGACTGTTTCTTTTGGAAGCTTTTGCCGTCGCCTTTTCGTTCTGCTGCTTTTGTTTTTCCTTGCATTTCTCTCCTCATGTTTTCGTACTGGCCAAAGCGTTCTTTAAGCTGTTTTATAGTTGTTGCTCCATATAATATGGACTTGTTTGTTGCGTCATCGGCGATACCCTCAATAATATATTGAATCACCGCCCGCTTTTCTACCTCTGCTTGACCCGCAATCTCCATCATTTTGTATATGTATTCTTGGTGAGTCTCACCGGCTTTCTTTTTTCGGGCCTTTAATTCTTGATGCACCTGGTAACTGTCGACCTCTACATCAAATTCATTTTTCAGTGCGCTCTTTAGCTTTTTCCACGTCTTTCCACAGCGCTCGTACGCCACAAATAATTTGGCTGACCCCGTCAATAATTTTTTAGCGTACGCCACTTTTTGCAAGTCAGACCATTCGCACATTTCTGACATTTCTTCAAAATCCTCAATCCATCGTCGAACATTAGAGTGACTGTCGCCGCTAAATTTCTCTAAGGATTCTTCGACGTCTCTAAAAATTAGCCGATGCTTTGATGGCGATCGTCGACGTGTCCTTCTTGTAGGCGTCGTCGCACGATTTCTACTGTTGCCATCGTCATAGTCTTCTTGATCTTCGTCGTCGTCGTCTTCCTTTCGGCCCTTGCGGTTGTGGCGGCCGCCGTCTGCGTGCTCCACCACTCTGCCGTTCTTGTCGCCGTTTTCGTCATCGCCGTTGCCGTCGTCTTCGTCATCGCCGTTGCCGTCGTCTTCACCGTTGCCGCCGTCGTCGTCTTCATTATCTTGGGCCCCATGAACTCTCACCAACGTTAATGCGGCCATAAGACGAGTTCGTAGCTCTCGTTTGTTACCCGTCACTCGCAGCCGCCGTCGTCGCAGCTCCTCCTTGAGTTCGGTAACCGTCATGCTATTTACTCGCTCATCCGCAATATCTTCGCACACCAACTCCGTTTCTGCCTTGGGAGTTTCGTTCGTGAAAGATTCTGCCATGTTGTTTTAATTTTAATTTTGCACTATTTCTCTCACTTATCACTTTCCACTCGCGAATAACCGTTGCTGTATCCCGGTTGAGCCCCCAAAATTTGTAGGGAAATAATCAGCAATGATGGTAAATCGGTTTTATTTACAAGTGACTATGATATTACACATTAATTAAAAATAGCAAAAAGGTTAAAAATTAAAATACGTCTTCAGTTCGCAACGGCCCGTTAAAATCTGTCCTTCTTGTTGAACGCAGGTACCCGTTACACATCTGGGCTGAAAACTTTCTCTCCCTCTACGTCACAGATATTGCCAGACGCCCCTAGGAATTCCAATATTTGACCTGTCTTGTTCTTATCCTGTCATAAACAAACTAAAAATATACCTACTTAAAAGCAAAATTATGTACGGATTATATTTCTCAGGCAAAACAAAATTTATTATATACAACTTAAATATTTAGACAAAAAACAGATACTACATATATTTGTTATGATTATTTTTTAGGAAGGTTTATACACATAAAAGGAATAGTAAAATTACGTGGCAAGGTTCAACTTTTTTTCTCCATACAATTGTAGACAATCCTAATATAGATCTTAGTATGTCTATGATATAGGTACTATGCATAAAATTATTTTATTAACCAGATAGTCAAAGGTGGAATTTGCTAGTTTAAATTTTAAATGCGAATTCTAGAATGCATATCTATAAAAATAAAGCAAGTAGGTATGTAATAACATTTTTTATTTAACTATTTATTGTTACAAAAACTACAACTACAATGTATTTTTTTTCAATAAATTAAAAAAACTAGTCTTTATATACATAGCCCAAAAAATAAATTAAATTATATTATTAAATAATATTCAACCTTAAATATTATAGGTACATATTGGGTACATATTTTTAAACAATTGCAATATTAATTAAAATCATCATAAAATTATTGATTTAAATTTATAATTGACATAACCACATTTGAATTTTTTTTACCAAATTTAATTACATAAATATTCAAAATAACTATTTTATCAAAACTATTTGTGGTATTGCTATAAAAACTATTCATACGCAGGTTTATTCAAAAAATTCGTATTCATATAACGAAAATTCGCACTAATTAAATCAAAACACACTATTGTAGACCGCTAAAACTCTTTTCCATGCATTAGAGTCGCCCTAGAACCGCTACTCCCCTTAATTATTGCGTATCACACGCTGGGGTGAAATTTGCTTATACACAGACACGCTCCGCTTAATAGGAATTCGGGCGACAGACAACGATGTTGAACCTCCACCTCTCAAATCGCAAAATAGCGCTGTTATGTTAAGAACCAAGGGGTTTTATGTTATATTAGTATTATTAATCAAATGTGGTTGGTTTTTTGATATACAAACAAATCAATCTAGGTGCATTTTTTGTAATTTATAAAAAGTATAATACACTAAAAGTCTTCCTGGAAATATCCTGAAAATTTTTCTTAATATTCTCAGGTGTACAAAAAATACAAAGCAAGAATAGAATAGTATTAAGTTCGATATACGCTATTTTATAAAATAGTTACGAATCTAGGTGCTAGGTGCCTAAAAAAGTTTATAAACGAGTTGCATACTATACTTTTCCTACAACAAATACATATTATTATTATATAAAAATAATTTAGATTAATT